TTATATTAATACATTTTAACAAATTATGATAATTATTTAGAACCAAAACACACATGTAAATGGGTTTTGATTATAAAGGTATAATATATAAATAAATATATATACATATATATATATAGAGCGAGAGAGAGAGAGAGAGAGAGAGAGAGATGAGTATTGATATTCAATATTCAACTTGTATCGAAGTTTTGCACTTCCTGTGAGAAAAGTAAAGAGCACTGTTGCTAAAAAATGCCTTTTCTCACTATCTTATACTGTACATGCACATATTTTTACAGCAAGTGTTAACCATATGACTGTTGTCTAACATGATATTACAGGGTGAACTGAGTCTCTCCTCAGACATGGAGCTGCTCCAAATGGCTCTGTTCTATGACACCGTTCCAGAGAGCTGGAGCAGGTTGGCCTACCCTTCAACCAAAACACTGGCTATGTGGTACAGAAACCTTCATATAACGTCACATTACAGATAAAATCTACAACACTAAACCATTTCACTGTAGGCTTGAGTGATGAGGTCTACATAATCATATCCTGCAGGTTCCGAGATGTTCTGGCTCAGTGTCGAGAGTTGGACACGTGGACTCAAGACTTTGTGTTTCCTGCTGTAGTTTGGATCTCTGGACTGTTTAGTCCTCAGTCATTTCTCACAGGTGAGACACACACATGAACACATCCAAAAGAGACTCACTGTCATTGTACTGAAAATGTTCCACTGTGCAGTGATTCTGCGGAGTATAGCTCGAAAAAACAAATGGCCTTTAGATCAGATGAGCCTGTCTGTGGACGTCACCAAAAAAACCAAGATGATTATGGGTATCCTCCTCGAGAGGGAGCATACATCCATGGACTGTACATAGAGGGTGAGCATAAACTCTATTCCAAAGTGTATTTCCTGTTTGTGTGGATGAATGTTACACGGCTCTCCTCCTGCAGGTGCTCGCTGGGATAGCACCTCAGGTCTGCTATCAGAGGCTGTTCTGAAGGAGTTGACTCCAGCTATGCCAGTGCTGTACATACACGCGGTACCCATCGACCAGCAGGATGTGAAGAACACCTAGGAGTGCCCAGTGTACCGCACCAAACTCCGCGGCTCTGGAGCTTCCGTCTCAAAACACGCCAACCACCTGCAAAGTGGATTCTGGTAGGAGTGGCACTGCTTCTGTCTGTGTAAACAACCAACCAACTCCATTGTGCTCACAGAGGTTGACTTACTACATAAGTAGTATTGTGTTGATCGAAATATATATTTTTGTCTGATGCATGAATGCACGATTAATTGAAATAAAACCAAAATCGACCAATATGACTTATCAAATCGCAAATAGATTTACGCTGCGTTTCATGTGAAGCACATCGTTTGCACACAAACCTGTTTTTAGTGTCTCAGAGCAGCTCGGGTCACAGTAAATGATTCCATCTCTACATCTGCTGTGCGTTATGTCACTTATAAGGTGTATTAACATGCGCCAACCATCTTCCCATAACTGGACTGAAAGATTATAAACCAGCTGTTGTCAACATAAATAACTAAATACATTTAAGAGCTCCCTGTAGTTTTCCGACAAAAAAGCTTGATGGTTCAATGTTTAAAAATTATTTTATATATAATGATTTTTCTTAAATATGTAAAAAAAATATATAAATTGTCAGTGAAATATTTCAATAGTATTTTTTCTTAATATTTGATTTAGAAGCTAATGACTAAACATAACGTTATATTATTTTTACTTTATAGTCATTTTGATGTATAATCTCAAAATTTGGGGCCAAATTGTACAGCCCTACAAACAAGCACAGCATAGCATTTTTTTTGTTTAAATCAGAAAAATCACAATTATATTTTTCCCAAATCATGCAGTAGTTATGCAGAACATCAGTTACTATACTATAGAAAAGTTGCCATTATTGCCGTAAGTATTAACACTGTGCAATACTGATGTTGTTATTAGCTTAATTAAATTTAAAGCTGGTTCTTGGCAGCTCAGTGTTTAATGAATGACACAATCTCCTCCAGTGCCGCTACAATGAGACTCCCAGTAGATTATGAACCAGGTTGATACTGTGTTTGACCTTCCTCTCGTGAATACAGATAGATACTGTGATTCATGTCACGTCGTGACAGAAACCAATTTGTTATCATCTCTGAATGACATGCTTGATCATGTCCATTCTTTCCTTCATGTGTCCCTTGATGTGATTTGTTAACGAGCTACAGTATATTGCTGAACTGAACAAATGTGATTTTGCTCAGTAGTATTTTAGAAGGTATTAAACAAAAAATTCTACAGAGTACACAATCACAAAACACATAACATCTGCTGCTGTTTGTCTGGGATGGTCCGTATAGTCCTGTGCTATGACGCAGACTTTGTCGGGGGACAAGAAAATGATACAGCTGTCCCGGAGAGGGAAATGAGAGGGTAGCACAAGCCGTGGAGCTGTTCCTCCCCTCTCAGTGTGTCCAGCAGCGGCCTCACAGCAAGTAATAATGGCCCAGAAGAGGATGGATCTGTAACTGTTTAGACAATTCATCCTCGGTTCACACCGAGTCAAACAAGCGTCACTGAAGAATATTCACACTATTACTGATGCATAATGAGGTCCGGGGTTTATTAGGAAGTCACGATTTGTAGACCCACTGAAATCAAAACAGGAGTTCTGTGGCATTTCCTAATAGCTTTGAGGTCTCTATTAAGTGTACATTAGCTGATAGTTAACAAAATTATCTTTTAGTGGACCCACTTTCACTCTAAAGGTATTTAAACCTTCTGGAACTCATTATTAAAACATTTAAAAAAAATAATATTAAAACATTACATAATATAATACGTTGGGATTGGTAATTAATCAAAATATGATATATAATTATTGGCACTACAACAGTTTCCTACTGGGAGAACACACCTTCTCCTTGGTCTTTTATAAATGACTTATATTAACAGAGTGATCAAATTTAGCACTCTTAGGGGAATATAATATTTTGTAATTATCATTTAAATCTGACTAATTTTCTAATTGTTTGTCATAAAAAAACGAAATGTGACTTTTTGTTATGAAACGGCATAATTTTCATATCTTCAGTAGAGGACACTAGGACGAATGGCGTGTTAATCAGGCATTTTGGGGAAACAGGTGTCAATAGGAAAAGAAAGTATAGATCAATATTCCTATGAAATATGAGATATTCTTATGAAAATGCATTATGGTTTGCCCCAAGACCACATTAATATGCAAATTAGATGCAATGTATAGATACATTGTATAGAATGGGAATACCAATTTATGGACATTTTACACACATATTGCATAAAGTAAAATAGTATATCAAATCTTTCATAACATAGTTTAGAATCATCTTTGTACAAAGTTAAAAATAGCCTGAAACCTAAAAACTGATTGGTGAATGAAAATAATAAAATATTGTTTTTGCCTATACATGCCTTTTTATGTCTGTTTATTTATTTATTTTAAATAACTTAGTCCTGGCATCCTCTACAAAGGACATAGAATAAAATATATTTTTTTCAAAAATGTTTTTTTTTCTCCATTTGTTGCTTATGCTCCAACCAATGTAATGACAAAAAAAAAAAAATCACAACTTTTTTTTATGGTTCTCAGGAAGATTACATCATACATCCTTATAACATTACAAAAATGAACTAATATGTGAACACAAAGCAATTAAGCAACCAAGTAATCAGTTTAACTCGCTACCCGCTCTGCTGTACCACGATTGCTCAGGTATTGTAAACAGCAGGTTATGTTGGATGGGATTTTTTGCAGTGTATTTGCAGACTGTAAAACGGGGACGTTCCCGGGGACAGCTACAGTTGGGGACAGGACACCAAAATGGGGACAAGAATTTGTGTCAGTTCATAGTCCTACCACTGCCTAGCTATATAAAACATATATAAAACAAGTAAAATATTAAGCAAAAGATGGATTTGCACATGAAAAAAAGACTGAGAATTTATTATTTTTTTTTTTTTATGTCAGGCTCTTAGTGAAGAAAACTAGTGCAAATAGCAGCTACAGTCAATCACTGCTAACATATTTTTTTTCTGAAGGTGAGATGTACACCTTGCTATTGCTGTATGGCCTGTTTTCTTATTTATAAAAATAAAAAAAAAAGAAGTCTTAGTATTTACAGAGTTCACATGTGAACCTCACAGGCATTATCAGACTGGTCAATCAATGGCGTTACCAAATCCTTCAGACCATCTGATCACATTTTCAGTAAATTACATCTTTTCTTTGTATTTAAAACCTGTTTTGTTTTCCCTTCTGAATCAGGGACAAGCTTGTTGTGTAATAAATATCTCAATGTCTCCAAGTACAACTTATACTAGAAATCTACACATTTGCTTTTTTCAAGCACCATCTAGTGTAAGAACCATTGCTCCGTTATTTTCAGTAGGCCCTTTCCAATAAAATACATCCATAATTTAAAACCAATTATTTATGTGAAAATCTGCTAAATAAATTGCACAGATAATTTTTTCCCCTCAAAGATATACATTATTTTAAGATGTCCTTACAGTTTATGCAAGTTCAACTAACAGTCGCGTTAATCTAGAGTCTAGACTAGACTACGTCTTGCTTCTGGCTGCAATTCTGCACCTAAAATACAGTGTGCTACCTTGGGATATTTTTCTGATTGTCTACAAACTGTTTGTTGGCCATGATCTAAAAAGGCATCACATAGTTTTGTGATTTGTGCATGTAGCTCAAATTTCAGACTAATTGGACTAATTGGTTTGTGTGAGTGTGTCTCCCCCTAGTGGAGGACTCACTCATCACAGTCTTCAGTTAGAGGAAGGATGCTGTCCTGTCTTCAGTAGTGGATTTAGGATATATCCAGTAGTTTTATATCCTGGGCTCAAGTCTGTGTGAGAGCTCAAACAGAGCCTGTTGATTGTCGATGACGTGCAGGTAATTGATGTACGTTCTCACTTCCACGCTGTCCTTCTGGGACAACATGTTTCCTGATGGGACAAAAAGCCAAAAACATGTTTGAAACAGTCATTTCTTTGCAACTTCATTTGGATGTTCTAGTTGGGCCGAGAGTATACACTTCAGCAAGGTAAGCAAAACATAATTTTACAGTTATTATCTGTGTGATTTGAGCACTTACCCATGTGATCTGTCCGACACTGCCTGATAATGCGCACTGTGTCTGCTATCATGTGCTGCACATAAAATACATTCACATTAGCTTGTTTTGCTCACTTGATGGGACATGATATTAAAGAAATAGTTCGCCCAAAAATGAAAATTCGGTCCTCATTTACTAACCCTCATGTCATTCCAAACTTGTATGACTTTCTTAAAAAAAAAAAAAAATCATCTTTATTCCATAGAAAAAAGAAAGTCATACAGGAATGATGTGAGGGAAAGAAAATGATGACAATTCTAATTTCTGGGTGAACTAGCTCTTTAATTTAAAAAAATGACCTCTATAAGGTCTAATTGTTCACTTACTAGTTTATCAAAGTTGACTAGGTTGTCGAGAAATGTTTTGTTGCCCTCATGAATGAAGGTAATATCTGTTCAAATAGAATTTGTTTAGACTTCAATACACACATTACATTGGCAAAAAAAGCAAAAAGCCTCTCAAGGAGAATCTCTCACCATGTCCTAACCAGATCCCTTGCAATAGATGCTAATTCTTGTGTTCAAAACAGCCATGATCCGACATTTTGTTAATAGCTTGTTTGTTTTATTTCTGCTGTGTTGTGATTGGTAGCTCTGTCCACAGCAAAATCTCATTAATCCAACATGTCAGCTAGAATGGAAATACACCCTATTTTCTAAATATATGATTCATCCAAGCATTTATTTCATTTATTTGGGTAAAAATTATTTTTTTTGTAGAATTTTTTTTTTTTTAAAGAAAAAATACATATATTTATGTAGTGGGAACTCTGATGTTTAAGAAAATATTTAAGTGGTCACTACCTTTTTCAACTCTTTCACTGTTTTTTTTTTTTATTTAATTGAACTGTACGGTAAATTTGTCCTATGGTGTGACATAGCAAAAATGAAGAAAAACAAAAACCTTAATAATATACAAGTAGCATAAGAGAGCTTTATCTTTATTGTTAGACACTTATTTTCATATAGTGTTATTTAATATGAAATTAAATGCCATGTCATGTCAACAACCCATATATAAATATATATATAAATATATATAAAAATATGCTAGACTTCTCCAATCATGCTGTCCACATAAGTCGCTGCCCTACATTTTAATGTTTTTTTAAATTTCACTTGGATGTGCATCACAGTACAAAATCTCTGACTACTTCTGTTTGGGGAAGTCGTGGCCTAATGGTTAGAGACTCATAACCCAAAGGTTGTGGGTTCGAGTCTCGTACCGGCAGGGATTGTAGGGGGGGGGGGTGAATGTACAGCGCTCTCTCCCACCTTCAATACGATGACTGAGGTGCTCTTGAGCAAGGCACCGAACCCCCAACTGCTCCCCGAGCGCCGCAGCAAAGAAACTGTGTGTGTGCACTTTGGATGGGTAAATGCAGAGCACTGATTCCGAGTATGGGTCACCATACTTGGCCACATGTCACGTCACGTCACGTCACATTGCAACTTTAATCATCAAATACCTTTTGAACGGCTGTGCTTGCTTCATATTGAACAGCAGTTTCATGTTCAGTGTGAACAGATAAATAACTTCTGGCTGGTTAGGACATGGTGTCACATGCAGATTATTAATAATCTGATGATATCATGTATGTTGTGAATCTTAAATTTGCTTTCTGCACCTTTCAGAAGCAGAGGCAGGAAAGGGATCTTGGGAGACTTCATCTTCCTGAAGGCATCTCTGTAGGCTTTGTGGTTTAAAGAAGGGTCCTGCGGGTCATGAAAAAGCATTCATGTGTACATATTTGTGGGTTTGTTTTATTTTAAATTGAAACCATCTGGTTCGTCTCAAATCTCTTCTTCTGTAACATCACCTGCTGTTTCCTCCCTGGAGGCCAGAGGCTCTGATATGACTACGGCTTCATATATTACGTCTTAATGAGCCGTAAACAGCACAAAATTCTCTAGCAGGAGGTGAACTAGCAGGAGGCAACTTAAGATTGTGATGAGACAATCACTTACCGTCAAGCTCTCCAGCTCGGAGAACAACTTCCTGAACTTCCCAGGGACTTTCTGAAATGAGGACAGAAATAAAAAAAACAGAAGATTTGAAGCCAATGCACAGTTCCGGTTTCGCAGAGTTTGCAATACACTCTAGTTTCTTGCTTCTAAAAACATAATTCATCATAAAGATTGATGTTGAAAAACTGCAACACTACCACTTCCACATATATAGTAGTGTATTTCTGTGCACTGGAGTTGGTGTCTTCCTACCTCCCACGTCTGAGCGAGTCGACTGACAGCAGGACTGTTCAGTCCCATAATAATGGCAAAGAATGAGTTCAGGTTCCTCTGTGCTTTACAGCTAAAAAAAAAGGAAGATGACATGAGCATGCTTATCATTTGAAATATTTGAGTAGAACGAAGTACAACCACAAACAATTTAACATTCTCAGATTTTTCAGTTTTCTGAAGAAACTTGCTTCCAAAATGTCAGGGTGTTCTGAGGGCGTTTTAGCATGCTGCTATGTGATTGCTAGGATGTTTTGAGTTGTCAAAAAATTGATGATATTCTTGTGCTTGGATATGGGCTATGGTCGTTCATTATTCAGTCAGCGAGTGTGTGTTTGTGGGTGTACACGTACTGTGCTGCGATCTTGATGAATTTCTTGAAGAGCTGCACACGTTTGCAGAGAGTTGGGCACAGGAGCACTTCGGTCATCACCCACTGCTGAGTCTCATTACAGCGCTGCAACAGCTGCTCCAGCGCCATCGTGTGACCGGCGCTCGCGTCTCGGCTCAGAGTAAAGTATACCAGCTCTTGCTGCAGATAAAGGAAAAATGACATGGCTCTGAGGTTGTTGAACATTGCTAGCGGTTCTTTTTGGAAGTAGTATTAAATCAAGACTATTGAGTGTGTTTGATTACAAGCCAGCCATGTTCTTAAAATGATCATTGTCATGTTGAATTTCACGGGATAGTTCACCAAAAAATGAAAATTCTGTCATTGTTTACTCATTCCAATGTTGTTCCAAACCCGTAAGACTTTCATTCATCTTTGAAACACACATGAAGATATTTTTTATGAAATCTGAGAGATCTCTGTACCTCCATTGAAAGTCCCTCCATTGAAATTCCATTCAACCAAAACCTTGAAACTTCAAAAAGTTCATAAAGACCAAATTTGACAAAAATGTACTCACCCTCAGGCCATCTAAGATGTAGATGAGTTTGTTTCTTCATTGTAACAGCTTTGGAGAAATTTAGCATTACATCACTTGATTTGTTTCTTAAAAGTCACAAGATAGTAATTAATGGGCCGGAGTCATGTGGAATACTTGTGGATTATTGTAATGTTTTATTAGCTTTTTTATCGGGTTTAGCCTCTCGTTCTGACGGCACCCATTCACTGCAGAGGATCCATTGGTGATCAAGTGATGTAATGCTAAATTTCTCCAAATCGGTCTTCTACATCTACATCTTGGATGGCCTGAGTGTAAATTGCCAGTAAATTTTCATTTTTGGGTAAACCGTTTAATCCAAGAGACATAAACGCTTTATATGATCAACACATTTTATTTGTTTTATTTTTCATTTTTATTTTATTTACATGTAAACACTGCACAACACACATATGTAAGCACACAAATATAGTAAGCAGAAGCTCAACTGTACTTGCTTGAGCACCACGAAAACAAACCTCAAAGTTTTAAATGAATGGACTTTTGATGGAGGGACAGAAATGTCAGATTTTTTGAGGGACAGAAATGTCACCCATAACTACATAAAGCAACTGTGTTTGAGTTCTTCAATGCTGTAGTCTTTTGTAACTACCTCATTGGTTGATTTTAAATGTAAACTTTAGTTTGTATTTCACGGATACCCTTTCTAGGTCTCTAGTGCTGCACTGTCTGAAATGTGAAGACTTTACCTCATGCACGATACTAAAGAGACTCCAGTCACAGTTGGTGAGTGACAAGGCTACATCCCACGTGTTCATGCTCAGCATCTTTACGGAGCGCTGCTGCCTGTTATCAGTGAAGGAACTCTGGGAGAATAGAAGATAGACACCCTGATTATTATTATTAATCTGTTCGCTTTAGTGCAAGTTCATTGTTATTTGTAGGATTTAAAGGGGTCATATCATGAACAACAGGATTTGACTTGCTCTTTTATACAGTACTATGTATGCACATTCCTGGTTGACCCAGACCATTTATGAATACTAAGCTAAAGTGGGTCAATCACAAAATTGTCACAGACATTAGAACCATAAGCATATTAACATTTGACTACCCATATTTGCAAATCAACACCTACTGGATATCCTGCAACTTGATCCAGCATAAGAGAAGGTAACACTATCGGCATGCTTGACTAGTGAGGTTTGTTACCAAACACATTATTTTTGTATATTATTCAAGTTTATTTTTGTACTTGCAAAGAGTTTGTTTTTGGCATAAACTCCTGGCAGGAACTTGGTGAAAGAAAAGTTTCGAATACAGCGTCTTTACAGTTGTGTGTGGACTTGAACTAATGCTGTGGAAAGCCGGTTTCTTTTAAGAGCAGTTCAGAGAACAGCATTCTGACTCTCACCATGATCTCAGTCAGGTCTCTTCTGCAGACATGCAGCCTCTCAGCGGCACTGAGTGAAGACGAGAACACACACTGATCTGACTGAAGCAGAACCTTCTCTGGAGAAAGAGAGGAATAACAATGGAGAGAAAGCGTCAATGTCAGGGAATATCAAAAGGGTAGACAGTGAGCTACAACAGAAATCAGGTAACAAAAAATGTATTTAGAAATAATTTACTTAGTCCCAAGAGCCAATTGGTCAATTGGAAAAATGCAGTACGCTGTGTTTTCCGCCAACTGGCAACCCAGTGTGTTGAAAAACTATTGGGTAAATTGGCAGTGGGCGGAATCGCACAGACCAAAACAAAAACAGACATTTTGACACAGAATGCACATTTCAAAGTAGAATAACTGGCTTTAGCATTGTTTTTCAGAGAAACAAATATGTGAACTTAACATGTTTCCTAAAAATCTGCAAACATATGGTATTTTTTATGCTTTAGAACCTATATAGCACCTTTAAGACAGGCTTTTAGCTCTGTTGTACCCTAATGACTTGTTTAAAAGCATGATGGCACCCCTGCAGACAGGGATGTCTCATAAACAAACACAAAGCTGCAGTGATGTCAATCAATATGAAAATAGACAGCTGAATGAGCTTGTTCAGACCTCCAGGATACGTGACAGCCATCAACACCATGTCGTTTTCAGGACAGTCGAGCCTTTCAGCCACAGTGCTCAGCAGTTCCTGCACAGACACCTCGCTATGGGTCCTCACACTCATGTATGAGTCTATGGTCACGTACACACGACACAGCACTGAGGAGAAACACACACACACCCAGCGCTGCATGAATCAGCCACCAATTCTCATAAAAATGCCATAAAGCAAGATTCTCATGTGCTGTTATTCATAAACAACCCGCCGTGGGTCTCCAGCAGCTCTGCAGGCAGTCAGAACGTTATGAGTGTAGGAGAGGAATATGAGGGAATATTTTATGAGCTTACCTTCCTTCCTCTCCCTCTGAGCTCCTCTCACAGGGTGCCAGTTCTCCTTCAGACTCAGCTGGTGGAAGAGAGCTTTATTCTGGAAGATAGTAAATGTGTGGCATTGAGAATATTATTGTTTATTAGAAATACACACACTGACACACACACACACACAACGGTGAAAGCCTGACACTGTACAACTCATCCACGCAGCACTTGAAGGATACTTCATCTCAGTCTTGAAAATGAGTAGTGTTATTGTTAAAGCGGCAGTCTGTAACTTTTTTTGGTTAAAAATGATCCCAAATCAATATTTGAGCAAGTACATAACCAGTCAGTGTTCAAAACTATCGCCTTACTTTAGCCCGATTCACAATGGTTAGCTTATAATAATGTTTTTTAATTTGAGTGGTACGGGTAGGTTTTCTCGGGAAATTCGAGCATGCTGCTGCGTCATTACGTCACGTCTGTAAACATAAAGAAGTTGTCCAGGCTACTAGGTTGTCGCATGTGAGGATCCTGCAGGTGGCCGATCGTTTATAGCCTTTTCTCACAGTAGCTAGAATAATGTATCATTTTTATGGTGGATTGTAATCCAGAAAGGACTATGTGTTTATGAAACACATGTGAATGAAATTAAATTATATTCCAGTGAATGAAATGAAATTATATTCCAGTTATAAATGTGCTTCTGATTGCAGATGCCTGAGATTACAAAGATTTGTATTTTAAAGAAAACCAGTTCGAAGGGAGCATCATTTGCTTTTTGAGTTAAAAGAATTTCTGAATATGAAATTCGAAGAGTATGACAATTAGATTAGACTGTGCAGAAATTGAAATCTACACACACACTATACTCATAGTCACGCAATGCTGATGTTGTTAACATTAATAATCTGAGAATAAAGTATAACAATAATAATAATTTGCACGGTTTGATGTGATATGAGCTAACCGATCTTTAGATTTAATCACCATTGGTAGCGCGATTTATTGTAATGCTTTTTTCCTCAGTTGGTCAGAACAAACGTGGCAGACTTGTTACTTGTTCAGATGATAATATACGGTGAAAATTCTTATTTGGGTCATACATTCCAAGACGTAGGCCAGAATCTGTGATTACTAAGTATACACTCTTAAAAATGCTGGGTTAAATACAACCCAGTGCTGGGTAAAATAGGGACAAACCCA